CACAACTCCACCTCCGGCCCTCTCTGACCTCCCAGCAGAGGGGGCACACCTTGAAGGCGTGGGGGTGCAGGTCCCAGGTGGCTTGTTCTTGCTCAGGTCCAGTGTTTCCAACGTGGGCAGCCCCAGGAACATGTGCACGAGTATCTTGGGCATCTTGTTCTCTGTGCACACACACGCATCCGTATTCCTGCTCCTCCCTCTGCCCTCTGCCTTGGGGCACCTCCCACCTCTGAGGGAGCTGGTTCTTCTGACAGTTCCAGGTCAAGGCTACCCAGGGCCTGCAGGGTTCGGCGCTAAACAGGGGCCGCCCACCTGCCAGGAAGAGTGTGGGCAGGCCAGGGTCACTCAGGGCAGGGACCTGCTTCATCTTTACGTTCCTGCAAGTGACGGCCACCTGGGCCAGGAGGCAGGAGGCCAGCAGGGAGGACATGGCCTGCTCGGCAGTCCCCAGGTCCTCAAGTCCAGGTCGTTGCTGCTCACAGTCTGCCACCTCCACCAAATGGCACAGCCACAGGTTGGTGGGAGGTTCCTGGAGGCCAGGAGACGCAGCCCCAGCCAGGTCACGTGGCGGCAGGGCCCCACTGACGGACAGGGGCGGCCCAGGCCCCCTGGACGCACTCCTGCCTCTGCTGGCCACCCAGCCAACCTGCCTGGAGAGACCAAAATGGTGGCTCTGAAGCTAGGGCGAGGTGCCTGCAGGTAGTTTCTCCCCTGCCCTGAGGTGTGGACACTCACTGAGAACACAGGCCGCGTGGGTCAGCGGTCACTTCAGACGGTCATGACGCCCCCTACACCCGCACAGGCCCCAGCTGAAGCCCACAAGCCTCAGCCAGTCCTCCCTTCTGGAGGCTTCCTGGATGGCTTCAGGCCTTTCTCCCAGAAGCCTGGCCTCCTGCTTTCCTGCTCCAGGCCCTGATGGCCTTCAATGGCCTGAGCTTCTGAGCAGGGGCATCCGCACCACAGCCTCCAGCAGGCCCCTGGCTTGGGGCTGGGCCTGCTCCTGCTCCAAGGCCTCTGAGGTCAACTCCTTCCTCTGAGCCTGCCCTGGCCTGGTGGGCAGCTTCCAGCTGGGCATCTGGAGCTAGAGAGGAGCCCCCTCCTTGGGGTGGGCCAGGACTGTGGCCAGTCCAGCTGCCCGTCCTCAGGCCTGACTGGGCCATGTTCCTGGGGACGGGCTGCACCTGACATGCAGAAGGAGCCCGTGTGACCTGAGCCACTAGGGCTCTGCTGGACTGAGGGGCTGCCTGCAGTGGCGAAGTCAGCCGACGGCCTGTCTGCCCGCTATCTTCTCCCAGAGCTCACCTCCACCTTTCTCTTCTCAGGAACCCTCAGCCTTCTGTCTCAGAGACTTCCTGGTCCCCTCTTCAGCACCAGAGGAGAACAGAGCTGCAATGGGACCCCGTGACAGGCCGATGGTGCCCAGGAGAGTCAAGCAGCCTGAAGCAGAGGGCTGCCCTGGCTTGCGGCCCTGGGCCCACCGCCTCCCAAGGATGGGCTGGGGTATGTGGGTCTCGCAGCTGCTCCTGGGCAGAGTGGGCCAAGTTGGCTTGGGGTAGCTGACAGGGTCACTGCCCCCTGCTTCCTGAGGTGGAAGCCCCAGGGCCTGCTGGGGGTAGGGAGGTCAGGCAAGCTCAGAGGCCAGCCAGGAGGCACCTTGAGAGGCTCTCAGCCCCTAGAAAGGAGGGGCTGGGAGGAGGCAACAGCCCCCAGACCTCTCCTGCACCCCCGAGCAGCTCCTCCTTCTCCAGTGCTGATGGGGCCCTTCCTGAGCCCAGGGCACGCCGGGGTGTCCAGCAGGCCAGCTTCTCTCTGGCTCCCCACCAGGCTTTGGGGCAGTCACTCCAACCCCTGCTGCAATGTTCCCTCTAGGGGGGCCCAGCTCCTCCCCTGGGGCGTGGCGATAAAGCCTTGGGGAGTCCACAACTCCCCCATGCCTTCTAAGGAGGCATATAGCCAGCCCTCTCCCAACCCGCACTCCAACATCCAAAGGTGCCAGGCAGGCAGGCGCCCCAGTGCCCGAATGCACCCCTCTTGGCAGCTCTTCCTACTGCTGGCTACTCACCGTCAGGGGCGCCAAGCAGTGACTGTAGTGTGGGCAAGGCCTTGGGGGTTGGCAGGGCTGTGGCTGCTCTCAGGCTCGGCCTCTCCTTGGCCAGGGTCCCTCCAGAACAGCACCCACCCACAGAGCCAGGATGGTGAGCACCGTGGTCTTCATGGCCCCTGTGCGGGCAGGCCACCTGAGCCAGCGAGGCAGATGAACAGCCCGGAGGAGGGGTGTTTGGGGAGCACATGACTCGCAGACCAATGGCAATGGCACGCGACAGTCCCACTCCCGGCTCTCCTGGGCCTGCTGCCCCACTCAGAGTCTCCCCGCCCACCCGGAAACCCCCTCACCAACAAATGCCTCCCAGGCTTTGCCCCAACTTCCCCCACCTCCCGCTCTCACCTGAGAAGGGGGATCGATTGGGTCTTGCTCTTCCCAGTGAGGCCTGCGTTGATGCCGCGCCAGCCAGTCCCAGGGGCTCCTGAAGCCTTCTCTCTCCACACACAGCAGCAGACCGCAAGCTCTACTGCAGAGCAAGCTGGGGACGGGAGCTGGGCCTGGCAGGCAGGGGATCCTGGGGCCTCCTGGGTCGCTGGGAGAGGGGACAGGTCCCAGAAGGCCCCTGTAAAACCCTTGGCAGAGCAAGGGTGGTGAACATGGACCCAGCCCTGGAGGCCCAGGCACCACCTGGGCTCACGCCTGCCTGGGGCTGGGGCCATAGTCCCAGCTCTGCTCCTGGGTCTCCCAACCAATGTCCCTGACCCCCACCCCAGGCCTCATCGTCCTCCTCTGTGAACTGGGGTGGAGGCAGAATGTTCTGAAATGGTCCCGAGTGCCCCCATCCCCAGATGGCAGCACGTGCACACCAGGGGCTATCAATGTTGGGCAGCAGGGAGCCCTGTCTTGGGTGGGCCTGGGCCCCAGAGATGCCCCATGCCTCTGATTTCTCACAGAGGGCACCTGTGGGTAGAAAGGGGGCCAGGTCCGAGGGCCCGGGGGCCAGCGCTGCTGGGCGGGGCAGGGGAGCAGGCGTTGGGGCCAGAGGCCAGGAGGACGCCAGCCCCCAGCCCGGGTCTGGGAGCAGAGGGAGGGCAGGCGGGCGGGGGTGGGCACGGGCCCTGATCTCACCACCGACTCCCAGCCGGGGCATGAGGCAGCTTTTCCTATAGCTCCGTCCAGCGTTGACTTAAGTTTGGAAGCAGCCTTCAAAAATGAGTTAATTGTGGGCAAGGCTCAAGTGGAGGGGAGTCGGGGAGCAGAGGGGGAGTGGCGGCCTGGGAAGGATCTGGCCAGGGGGCTGCGGGGAGGGGAGGAGGGCGTTGCGCGGTGATGAGCCCCCAGGTCAAGGCGCAACTGGGCTGCAGCTGGCTCCTTACCGCTTGGCCACGTGGGTGTGGGAAATGGCCTGACCCCTGAGTGTCTTCACACAGCACCCGGCCCAGGCCACTGAGCTCCCGCTGTACCCCAGATGGCATCCCAGGGAGCAGTGTTCCAGTGGGTGCCACCTCACGTTTGCCATCATCCACCCCCCAAGCCCTGGTTTTGGACCTGAATTTAGGATAGTGCCACACACAGACCAGCCGCAGCCGGGCCCGGGGGATCTCCTGATGGGGCCTCTGTGAGCCTGGGTGCCCCTTGGGTGATAGAGGGTATCCCCGACCTGGCATGCTGAAGCTGGGGGGCACTTGAGCACGGGCGGTCAGCGATGTGACACCGAGGCTAACCCAGGAAGGCCCAGGGATCCTGAAGACAGGGCCCAACCCAGCCCCCGTTCTGCAGAGAAGGAATGGAGGGGGTGGGGCTGCCCGAAGTCACCAAGCCAGAGGCCAGGCCTCCTGCCTCACGGTCCAGAGGTGGCCCAAGCCTGGGCCCCAAGACAGGCTGTGGAGGGAGCCCTGGGCCCCAGTCCTGCCCCTCCCCCTGCCCGGGGATGCATTCTGGAATCCTGGCCCCCAACCCGTTTCCCCAGGCGCTGACTAAACATCCTGCCATCTGGTTCCCATTAGCTGGGCTGGGGGTGGGGGGAGCCTGCTCCCAGGTTTCCCGGGCACAGCCGGCCTCAAGAAGGGAGGACCCCACTCCTCCATACCTAGGAAGGAAGGGGCAAAGCCTGGGGGCCCTCGTGGCTCCCCAGCTCCTAAGAAGGCCTGTCCTCACTGCCCTGCCCATAGTGGGGGTGCAGAACAAATGCAGGTAGGCACCAGAAGTGGGCCTCCTGTTGCCTACCCTGTCCAGTGTTGGGGTATGCGGCCATCACGGGGACCTTGAGGGAGCCCCCCCACAGAGCAGAGCCAAACTGTGGGGACCTTGGCAGAGCCAGAGGTTCCCAGCAAGTTTCTGCCTTGCCCTCCTCCCCCAGTACTGTTGCACACAGACCTCACTGTGGACTCAGGCTAGGGCAGGCAGGCCCCAGGCCAAGATAATCCTGAGGCCGGTGTCTGGAGCAGAGGGTGGGAGGGGTGTCTGGATTTTCCAGGAACTAGGGGTACAGTCTGGGGCTTGCTGGAAAGAGCATTGGGCTCCCAGCTCTGCCACAGACTGACTTGCCACGTGATCTCAGGAGCACAAGTTCCCTGCTCAGTGCCTCAGTCTCCCCTTCTGAGAACGTCCTAGATTCTGAGAGCTGGAAGGGGCCTAGAGACACTGCCTCAGATGACCTCCAAGGTTGCATCAAGCCACACCGTCCCAGGATTTAAGGACAAGGAAGGACTCAGCTCCCCTCCTTCCCCTGCCCTTCCATGTAGCCCCCCACATGCACGTGTGCACCTGTGTGCGCACACATCCCCTCTCCCCATCAGGAGGCGAATTGGCAGCAGTGCTCTTTGTCCCCCAGGCTCCTTAGAATGCCACACCACCACGCTTTTCCCCAGCTTCGAGCAAAGACCTCTCCGACGGCGCCCAGAGCGCTCCTGAGCCCCGCTGTGGGCCAGGCACCGGGCCAGGGCTTTGCGGGGCAATGGTAAACCAGAAGGCCGGCCCCCCGCGTACTCCCACCAGGAGGAAATGTGGTGGCTTTGGTGCTGTAGGGACTCCCTTGATAGGGGATGAGGTGGGGAACGTGAGAAAGTGACATTGTGGGTCCAGATGTGAACCAGGAGGGTAGCCACGCACAAATAGCTCCAGAAAGGAGGGATGGTCAGTCTGAAGGTCCCGAGGTGGGGCAGAGTTTGGTCCAACCTGAGAACCAGCCAGGAGACCAGGGTGGTGAACAGGACGAGGGAGGGAGGAACGCAGGAGGGCCAGACTGAGTAAAAAATGGTGGCAACTGACTGCTGTTAGTTTTGAAGGCAACAGGGAGCCACTGTGGGCTTCAGAGCAGGGGAGGCCCGGGAGCCAATTGAGACCATTCATGGAGCCCTCAGGCCCTGGGATGTAGCCTGTGTGGCCCAAGGGCAGAAGAGGAGAGAAGAAGGGTGGTCCAGGGCTGAAGCTGTGGGGACAGGGGACAAAGTGCGGGTTTATTTCAGGGGTGGAGACTGTAGTTTGAATGGGAAGGGCAGTGAGGGTGAGGGAAAACACAACGAGGACTCCATGGACCGAGAGGTCAGAGCTGCCCGACACAGGGGAAGATGGAGCGCAGGGTCCCGCTTACTGATGTTTCAAAGGGAGCTGCTTTGCTATTCCTGCCACCCTCCTTCTGCAGGTGATTCTCCTGCCGAAACCTACTATGTGCCAGGCCTTGTGCCAGGCCCAGGGCAGAGCTAAGGATGTCTTTGGCCACCGCACGTGCGTTGACCCTTGGGGTGATCCCCAGACAAAGGGCCCATCCTTGAGCCTTCTACCTTTTGCCCAAGTGTCTGAGTTCCCTGTGGCTGTGGGAACTAAGTACCACAAAGGCGGGCAGTTTGCCGAAAACAAGCATTTGCCTGCTCACCCTTCCAGAGGCTGGGAGTCCCAATGCAGGGGAGTGGCCACGCTCTCCCTGAAGGTTCGCGTGCTTACACGTGCGCGCACCAGCGGGCACACCCATGCACACACGGTGCTAGGTCTGCCCCTATGGGCTCAGGCCAAGCCCTCTCAGGTGCATGCCCCCAAACACATCTTGTATATGGATAAAGGTACAGGGGCCTCGTCCCCCTTAAAGCTTTGAGAAGAACAAAGCCCAACTCACCACAGCCTCTTCCTGCTGCCAGCAGTCCTTCCCTGGAGAAACCCCCCCCCTTTTTTTTTAACGCTGCGGATACCTCAGAGGGTCTGGTCCCAATTAAAGTATTTTCCATGCAGAGGCATTGTGAGTGCTGCAAGTGGCAGGCCCGCAGCCCACCCTGCAGGCTGCCTTCTTTGAGACCTACTGTTTCCAGGAGACGGAGAGAGAGGGAACCCCCTCCCAACGGGCCACCACCGCTGGTTGAGGATGGATTGGGGTTAGAGGACCCTGAGGCTGCAGCCTGGGGAGGGTGCCAGCAGGTGGCGAGCAGCAGGGTGGCTTTGGGGAGAAGGTCCAGGTGACCAGTGGGGCCTGGGTCGGGATAGGGGTCACGTGGGGCCGATTTCGCATCCTCCTGCGCCAGCTGAAATGGCAGCAGTGTTCCTGCCAGTAACTTGGGCCCCAGGAGTCCGTTCCTGCCCGCCGGCCCTCAGGAAGGCCTCGAGAGCCTTGGGCACGGGTTGCTGTGAGGGCGGAGGGCGACCGGGTGGGTACCCATCCCCGCCGGCCCCCAGCGGGCACGTTCCCCTTCCAGCCCAGCGCCCGCGACTCCAGCTCCAGACACAAGTGACTCAGCCCCACGGGCCTGCCAAGCCGTCTAGACGCGCGCGTCTCCCCGCGGAGGGGCGAGGCTGCCGGCGGTTTCCTCTCCCGGCCGCCAGCCGCAAAGCTGCGCGCTCCTGTTCCCGCACGTGCCCCTCAACCCTCCTCGCACGCGCGCACCCGCTCTCGCTACGCGCACCCGCATGCGCACGCGCTCCTCCATCTGCTCAGGCCTCTAGCACCTCCAGCACACCGCTATGAGTGGGCACTTCTGCCCCCTCAGTGGGCCTGCTCTTGGGGAGGGAGGGAAGAGAAAGGGGCCAGGAGAAGAGAGGGCCTTGACTTCTGAGTCAGACCATTCTCAGTCTGACCTCATTCAGAAAACCCAACCAAACCCCTTGCCATCCGGTTGATTCACAGCGCCCCTAGAGGACAGAGTGGAACTGCCCCACAGGGTTTCCAAGGCTGCCAAACTTTGTGGGAGCTGACTGACTCATCTTTCTCCAGGGAGTGGCTGGTGGGTTCTCAAAACTGTGGACCTTTAGTTGCCAGCTAAATGCTTTAACTACTGTGCCACCAGGGCTCCTCTTGACCTCATTTCCCTGTCTCATTTCGCCCCTCACATTCAAAGGACATGTCGAAGAATATTGACTATCCCATGGGCTGCCGGAACAATGAACGAATCTGTCCTGGAAGAAGTACAACCAGAATGCTCCTTAGAAGCAAGGATGACAAGATGTCATCACACATACTTTGGTCATGTGATCAGGAGGGCCCAGTGCCCGGAGAAGGACAGCATCCTTGGTAAAGTAGAGGGTCAGCGAAACAGAGGAAGTGTGTCAATGAAATGGAGTGGCTCAGGAGCTTGGACAGTGGGCTCGAGCCTGGCACCTCACACCTAACCAATTCAAGGGGCATAGATGTGGCCAGCTTCTCACGTCATCACTGACTTTCGTCCCTGAGATGTCTCACCAAGTGCTGCAGTTCTGTGGCCTCGTTCCCTGACCGGTGAGCCCCGAGTTGGGGCGTGGGGGTGAAGTGAGCCTCTGTCCTTGAAGTTCCTCCATTTCCCTGGTCCAGGAGCAGGAGGTGGTGGCCCCCTGGATCTCAGCCTTCTGGTACTTTGTCCCCATCAGCACCCAGGGCCCTGGCTGGGGTCTGCTCTCCATCCTTGGCAGAGGTCACACCCTCAGATGTCATGTTCCCGTGATTGGCAGTGTCCCCTCTGCTCCCTGGAGTCTGCTGGTCAAAGCTGAGATGCTCTGGGCCTCCCCTCCTGCTGCTGGCCCATGGCTGCAGGTATAACCAGTAGGTGGCCACACAGTTCTGCCACCTTGGCCCAGTGCAGGGTGGCCCATGTGGCAGGCTGTCTCACCCTCTGCATGGTGCAGTAGGGCCCGTGTCGGCCAACTGGTCTCCTTTGCCAGTCTGTTTTCTAAGTACTGACACCTAGCAAGGCCCTGCTAGGACCCATGGGCAAGTTTTGCCCACGATGAAGAGGCTGGATTTGTTGCCCAGCCTGCCCCAGCTTCCCAGCCCCTCCCAAGTTGACTGGTTTTTTAGCTCCATGTTCGGCCCCTGACCCTCCCCCTGCAGGCCTCCTTCACAGAACCAGGGGTTCTGGGCTGGGATGCTCCTTAGACACCACTCCCAGCTCCTCCACTCCTCTCCACATCCCTCCCCGCCTGCCTGGGCGCTCCCTCCCTCTCAAGGCAGCCTTTCTAGAAGATTCTGCCCAGTTCCTTCTCCCCCATCTGCCCTAGTAGCCTCTCTGTCCCCACCCCAGCCACCAGACTGTACAGTGGGAGATGCTTGGGAGACACTACGAGTCAGGTGCTCCGGGCAGGGAGGCCACGAGTGAGGGCTGGACAATAGGTTCTTCAGGCAGGGGACTGTCCCTTGACCTCTGGAGATGCTCTTCTCTTCTCAAAGCCCGGCCAGGCCTTCCTGCCCCTCCCTATGCCATAGACAGAGCCGCTGAGTCGGGGCAGGGCCGGCTCCGTGTCCTGGCTCTGCAGGGCTGGGTGGAGAAGGGGCTTCCCGTCCAGAATACACAGGGGCTGGTTTCGCCCCGTCCTCTGGAGCAGAGGATGTGGGGCGGGTGGGGGAGGCCGCCACACTGCTGTGGCTGCTCCCGCCAAATTCCCCAGTCCGAGGAAAGAGACACAGCAAAACCCACAAGAATTTGAACGTCTGAGCTAGGGCTGTGACCGAAATGAAATTTTTAAAAAAGGAAAGAAAAACAAAAAGAGAAAAATCCCATCCCAAGCCCCTTACAACTCTCGGCTGCCGGAAGGACCCTCGGCAGCAGCCCCGTGGAGCAGAAAGGGGGCCTGAAGCAACCTTGCGGCTCGAGTGCAGTGGTGGCGTGGTCTGCAGACTCCTCCGTAGGCCACTGGGCCCTGTGGACACCAGCCGGACCAGGCTGGGGGCCCTTCTCCCAGGACAGTGCCATGGCCCCCTGGATGGGTGGTTCCCACATGGCCCACCTCCCCAGTGGCCCTGGGCAGCTGCACAGGCCCTAGGCCTCACAGAAATGCAGTCTGGCCCCTGTGAGGGGGCTGCAGGGAGGTGCTCCAGGCTGGGAGCCTGGGCAGGTTCTTGGCCCTCTCGGGCCCATGCGGTCTGGTGGGGACTCCTTGCAGCCAAGCAGAGAGAGAGGAGGTGTGGAGGAAGAGAAGGGCCTGAACAGAAGAGGCGAGCTGCTTTGCAGAGAGCACACGTGGTCGCGGTGCCTGGAGGGGTGCACGAACACGTGGGTGTACGGTATGCGTGGATGTGTGGGCTCTTGTGTAAGAGAAGGTGAGGGAGGTTGCGTGTATGTGTGTGTGAGTGTGTACACGAGTCGCAAGACTGCATGCGTGTGTGTGTTTGTGCGCACGTGTGTGTGAACACTGGGGTGGGGCACGTCCCCTCTCCCCCAGCCCCCAAAGGAAGGAGTCCCACAACATCATGTACTCAACAGACAGGGTCCAAAGATTACGGGCTGAGCACTGGGGATGCAGATGAGGGGTGAGCCACATGGACATCCTGCGCCCCACAGAGCACATGCTGGAAGGAGAATGAGACAGAGATCAAAGGTGGGGGAGACAGAGGGGAGCAAGGCCTGGAAAGCTGGCGGGAGGGGCAGCCCCAGACGGAGGGATGGAAATGGACCCTGGCAAGGACCCAGAGAGAGCAGGTGGGAGGGAGAGACACCGCCACTGAGACAGGGCGATGGGGACACGGGAGCAGAAGGGGAGAGGTGACTCAGAACCAGACTGCAGGCCGAGAGAGGTCCGTGCCAAGGCCCAGAGGCTTTTCAGTTGGCACCAGTTCCTTCCCCGACTGACCCCAGCTGCCCTTTGCCCGCTGTGTCCCCAGACCAGGTGGCAAGGGAGCTAGCTGAGGGGAAGGCGAGTGGGGGGTTCCCGCAGGGAGTCGACATTTAAGAACTGAGACTATAGGCTGGTGTGAGGATCTATCCCTGAAGCCCCTTGGAGAGGTAAGGAAACTGAGCCAGAGAGGTGGGGTGATGGGCGGGAGCCGAACCAGAGGCCTGTCCTGTGGGTACATAGCCTCTAGAGGGAGTCAGAGAAGAAGCGACTGTTGCACAGACACTATTGGTCCTATAAGCCGAGGGGAAACACTCGCAGGGTTTTAAGGATTGGTGAGGGGTGACGTGGTCAGATTTGCTCTTTAAAAAGATACCTCCTGCCCGCCACCCCGCCACGTGGAAGACTGAATCAGGGACGAGTCTAGAGGCAAGGGAGGTGTGGGAACCCCAGCAGGCACTCACAGGCAGCCAGGGACCAGGTGATGGGCCAGGTGCAGAGGGGCTGTGGGCCCGTGGAGCATGGGCCCCACTTCCTCCTTCAACTCCAGCCCCCTGCAGCTCTTCCCCACCTCAACCATCTGCAGGCACTGGGCAAGGTGGTATGACAACTTATCAACCCCACTGGATGAGGGCAAGGAAGCACAGAGAGGTTAGGTTATTGGTCCAAAGTCACACAGCTAGACGGGAACTCAAGAAATTTAGGTCCAACTTTGTTGTTGTGTGCCATCGAGTTGGTTCTGACTCACAGTGAATCCATGTAACACAGTAGAACTGCCCCATAGAGTTTCTTGGGCTTTTCTGTTGCAGAGCTGCTGGGTGGGTTCTCACTGCCAACCTAATAGCTGCCAAGTGCTTAACCAGTGTGCCACCACTGCTTTTTATTTCTAAGTCAGCTGCAGTCAGATGACCCTTTTCGAAAGAGGGGATTCAAAGTCATGGGCTGAGAAATGAGGGAGCAAAGCAGGCGAAGTGACCCATATGGACACCTTGTACTCAACAGGAGACTGTGTGTGCGCTGCCACAAACCGAGGCCAACGCTGCTGGACACGCTCACGTGCCCGGCCATAAGCCTGGGACAACCCAGTCCAAAGCATGAGTGCCCCCTGCTGGAGGAGGCTC